ATATATATATATATATATATATATATATATATATATAAACTGCAGACATTAGTAACCATTCCCCCAGAATGTATTTCAGGAAGAACAGACTAGAGAAATAAGGATCAGGGAGCCATGTTTTGAGTTCAAAACAAGTTGTCATTCTAGACCAGCCCCAAAGAGACACCCACCCCCAGCTATATGGCATCCCTGACCTTTCATGAAGGGTCAAGTCCACGTAGAACCCAACAACCCCACAAGGTCGTGACCACAAACTACTCCTGGTAGACCTTCTCAAATACAGCTTTGCACGCGTCAGCATAGTCACTAACATTCTAGAGGGCTTTTCAGACCCTGTGCCAGGCGTTATTCGAGGTTCTGTACGCGTGGTCATCCACTGCATCTTCCCAACAACCTAGTTACTACCCTCATTTGAAGACTGGGGAAAACTGAAGCTCAGAGAGGCAAAGTAACTTGCTCAAGGTCACCCAGCTGAGAAATGGAGCACGGGGATGGACCCCAGGAAGCAGGGGCCAATTCAGGGTAAGGAGCAGGTTTCTGCTGCTGGGCCCCCGGGGCTCAGACCCTGCGGAACCTGGGGCAGCTAGGAAGCCTGGTTCCTCACAGTGTGTCCCCGGGCCAGCAGCACTGCCTCCCTGCGAGCTGGTTAGGGATGCACAACAGCAGGCCCTACCTCAGACCACCCTGGGACGGGATCTGGATTTGAACCAGCTCCCCACTGCGAAGCACCGGTTGCCTCACGGCCCCCACAAGGGACAAGGAAGGTGGGGAATCTACCCGCTAACTCTCATCCACAGTGGGTGAGGGGTACTGCCAGGCGGCCCTGAGAGCCTGCACCCCAACTGCTCCTGCACCGAAGGAAGCCCTTGGAAAGAAAGGTGCGGGTGCGGCAGCAGAATCCTGCTGGCACATAAAGGGGGGGGCACTGCCCCTGCAGATGTGGTCCCAGGTACCCTGCTCTTACCACCCACCCCACATTCACACCCTCAATCTCCCAGACTCCTCACATCCCCGTGGAATTGTGCCCATTCCCCAGATGAGCAAATGGAGGCCCAGGGAGGTTGGTGACCTGTGTGATTGTGACTCCCATTTACTGACTGTCTGCTCTGTGCCAGGGACCATGTGGGGTTTTACGTAGATCATTTTCCTTAATCCACATGTGCACCCCACATGGGAGGTCCTGTTACCCTCACTTTTACAGGTGAAGAAAAGGTTCAGAGAGGTTGAACGGCTTCCCAAGGCCACACAGCACCATGCGGCTCCGGCTGACACCCTTGCACCCCTAATCTTTCTCACGGCTCCTAAGAGGGATGCTGGGGCTGCAGTGGGGTCCCATGCCCCCTGATATCATGCCCTAGAGCTTGCACGGAGCAGGCCCCCTACACCTCACCCCTCCCTCACGGGGAGACACAGCTTGCTTGAAGGCAGAGCCTCAGGGGCAGTGAGTAACGTCACGGAGTTTCCTGCAGCCTGGGGTGCAGATGTCACCAGTAAGGGTCCCCCTCACTCAGCCGGCACCGTTCTGGGGTATGTAACCCGGGCTGGCTTCACCAGGGCCTCCAGATTCAAGAGGCCCAGAGCCCAGGACTGGTGTGGGTGCCTTGGACCTCAATACCTTTCTTTCTCCAGGAGACCAAGGGGACTCGCCTGGGCCCTGCAAGAAAGCCAAACCAGCACCCCAGGGCTGCACAGCCTCTGGCCAGCCCCTCCACCTCGTCTCCAGCTCACAGCCCTCTTCCCATTGCCACGGGCACTAAAAGCCTGGGATGAAGTGGCGATGAGCCAGGGCAGGCTGCTGAGTGGGCTGGAGGCCTCTGAGCAGTGCCCAGGAGGTGTGTGGGCTCCTCCAGCTGTGGACGGAGCCAGCCCTCAGGGCGAGCACCCAGCCCCGAGACCCAGCATCCCCTGTGTTCCAGAGGGAAAAGGACGGGGACAAAGTGTCAGCGTCACATCCAAGCAGATATGAGGGGCACTGGGAATCCAGGCGGAAAGGGATGCTTTGCCTGGACAATCAACAAGAACTATGTGCTGGGAGGAAGCTCTGTGAGGATGGTAAGAGAACAGGGTCGGGGCCTCCCTGGGGGTGCAGTGGTTAGGAACCTGCCTGCCAATGCAGGGGACGTGGGTTCCAGCCCTAGGCTGGGAGGATCCCACATGCCGCGGAGCAACTAAGCCCGCGCGCCACAACTACTGAGCCCACGCGCCACAACTACGGAGCCTGCACTCTAGAGCCCGTGCTCCACAACTAATGAGCCCGTGCTCCACAACTACTGAGCCTGTGCTCTAGAGCCTGCAAGCCACAGCTACTGAGCCCGTGCACCACAACTATGGAGCCTGCACTCTAGAGACCGTGAGCCACAACTACTGAGCCCATGCTCTACAACTACTGAGCCTGTGCTCTAGAGCCCGCGAGCCACAAGTACTGAGCCCGTGTGCCACAACTACTGAAGCCCGCGCGCCTAGAGCCCGTGCTCTACAACAAGAGAATCCACCGCAATGAGAAGCCCGTGCTCCGCAACGAAGAGTAGCCCCTACTCGCCGCAACTAGAGAAAGCCCGTGTGCAGCAATGAAGACCCAAACGCAGCCAAAAATAAATAAATTTATATTAAAAAAAGAAAAGAGTATGGGGTCTGGGTTCAAATTCTTACTATCTGATGGCCTTGGGCAAGGGATCTAAGCCTCTAAGTTCCTCAAGTGCCCCATCTGTAAAATGGGGATAATAATAGTGTCTATGCCGGGAGACTGGATTATTATTCCCAGCCCGTCTCTCACTCCCTTTAATAGACATGTCCATCCCTTCCTGTGCCATGGGACCGCCCAGCTCACCCACGTGGGGTTTGGCCGTGTGACTTGCTTGGCCCACACGCCAAAGCTGAGAATGCTCTCGCACGGCCTGGCTTGTGCTCTGTGCGTCTGTCACAAGAACGCACTCCAGTAGCTGCTGGCCACAGAATGAGGTGGCACAGGACACTCTGCAAATCAAGAGGCCAAGACCATCCAAAGACCCATCACCAGCCGGACCAGCCCCTCCGTGATAAGCGATTCTCTGGAGCCTACCTGTGTACCCGGGTGTGCACCACCTTCTCTGCCCGCCCAAGAAGCAGGGTCCACTGCTCGTTACACGGGATCTTTACTTACAGTACAGAAAAGAAATTATAAATCACTTTTTGGACTGTTTCAATGTCTGTAAGACAACTTGTAAAAAATGAAGCCAGCCCTTTGCAAGGAGTCCTTATATGTGCAGACCTCCTGGGCACCCGTCTGCATGGCCCAGGCCGCTGGGAGTCTGTCTAGAAGAGAGCCTCTCCCTGGTACCCAGATGGCCGTCACTGTGCCTCGGGGTCGGCAAGAATATGTAGGCATCAGAGGTCCGGTCCACTCAACGGGGGCTGGGAAATGTCGTTCTGGACGAGGGCAGGGCCGATTCCTCGCTCCTCTCGCCACGCCTCTGCTGGTCCAGTGCCGGAATCTCTCTGTCTTCCCAGCCAGCGCTCTCAGCACATCTGCCCCAGGCACCCCGGGACGTGCCAAGCGAAGGGCAGCCAGGGAAGGATCCAGTGCAGGGAAATCCCCGACCCACGCGTGCCTTCTCCTCAGGCCTCAGGGTCTGCTTCTCCATCCTCCGGGCCCGACCCTGACTCCTCCAGCCAGACTAGGAGACAGAGGGGGGCGTCAACATCTGGATGGCCCCCACCACCACAGCCAGGCCCCTTTCCCTGGGAGCTCCATGGCCGGTGCCTCTGGGCACCTTGCTTTGTACCAGCGCCCCAGCTCCCTGTGCATACGGCACGGGTGTCAGCCGCTTCTGAGAGGGGACCCCAGTGATGCTGGGGCTCACCCGGGTCCCACGGGATTTCCCACCCATCCTCTGCCCACACCCAGCACCGAGCTCCCCCAGATCTCCGGCTGAGGTCCCTGGGATTGTACCCCTGGCACCATCCTTGGCTTGGCCTCTTCTGAGTGCCTGTCTGGAGATGCCTTCAGGCCCGAGGCTGGGCGGGAGGTCCCCGCTTCTAGACGGGGAGTTGAGACCCACAGAGGGGTGACCTTCCCCCAATGAGCAGGGTAGTCTGGGCAGGGCAGGGTTCTCTCCAGTCCCTTGCTGTGGGGGGAGCCCCAGGTATCTGATCACCACTCAGGGCCCACAGCCCTGGAGGGAGTGCTGCCCTAAATATCGCTGGTGAGAAGACCAAGGACACAGGCCGCATGCGGGCAGTGAAGTCAGGCCCTTGACCTTCCTTGTCACGAATGCTCACGGCCTCTCTGAGGCACAGCTGTTCTCTGTGAGACAGGGGAGCCGAGGCCTCGTTCCCAAAATCACACGCTACTGCGTGGCAGAGCCGGGATCCAAATTCAGGGTTTTGTGCCTCCAAGGCCTGTGCCCTTTCTCCTACACCTCCCTCTCTACATGGGGAAAAGCAGAGGGTCAGGCCTGAGCTCTGCCACCAGACAGGACAGGAGGGGCCCCCTGTGCTGGTCCCTCGGCACTAATCCACCCCGGGACTCCGTGGGCTCTCAGGGCCTCTGGGCTCTCACCCCGCGGACCCTGAGGAGTAACCATGAGTCTCCCCGGCACTCACACTGGCCCTAGGAGCAGGGAAGGAGGTTATGATCCCATCTTACAGACGAGAACACTGAGGCACTGAGAGAGAAGGGAGCGTAATGGCAGAGCCAAGGACCAGGGCCTCGGCTGCCCACACTCAGCTCTCTGATTAGATGCTGAAGCAGAAACCCAGCTCTTCTCCCACCCTGCTGTGTGCCCTTGGGTGAGTTGCTGTCCCTCTCTGAACCTCAGTTTCCCCAGCTATAAGCTAGAGATAAGGGCGGTACTCACAGCCCACAGGGTTGGAGCGAGAATTAAATAAGATTTGTGGAAAGCATTTAGCCCGGTGCCGGGCACTTGAAAAGGTGACACAGGACTGTGACCAATGGCTATCACTACTGTGCATGGCCCAGTTCCAGTAACCACACGGGGCCTGGCCCGAGCCCGACGGCTTCTCCAGCTCATTCCCCCTGGCGGGCAAGCTGACATCCAAACTGAGAACTTCTGGAAAAGCCTCCCCAAGTCCCCCACTGACTCCCACCACTCCCACATCAGCCTTGAAGGCCCGTGTCCTCTGCAGGAGCCAGGCAGGGCTCGCGTCACGACCGTTGATTGGCTGAATGACGGTAGCCACCAAGACGGGGTCTAGCCTGGCAGTCCAGAGCGCAAGCTCCAGATCTCACGGCCTGGGTCTGAATCCCAACTCTGCCACGTACCAGCGGTACGGCGAGCGTCTCAACCTCTCTGAACATCAGTTTACCCATCTACAGAATGGGGATGATGAAAACGGGACCTAACTCAGAGCTACTGTGAGACCTCAAGGAAAAATCATAATCAGTAAGCCCCCTACATACGAACCTTCAAGTTGCAAACTTTCAAAGATGCAAACGTGCGTTCGCACGTCCAATCACGTAAGTTAGTTCACGTGTCTGGCGTACATCGTCACGTGTGTGCATCCTCTACAAGCGGTTGTGCGCTTGTGTACTTTCCTGTACAGAACTGTATAGACTACAGCAGTACAGTGTCCTTATTTCAAGCCCAGGATGTCCGGAAGCAAGTGTAAAAGCAGCGGTGATGTAGCTGGTACTGCACTACCCAGACATCACTGGACCGTTTTTTCAAGAGAGTAGCTAGACTTGAGTCCAGCAAGAAACCAGAACCTGTGCCGTCAACGTCAGGCACGAGCGAAACTGCAGCTGGCCCTCCGTCTCCTGTTGCTGACGGTCCTTGCCAGCCCCTGGGTGCCAGGTGTTGTGCTCTACTACTGTACTTTTCAAGGGACTGTACTGTAAGTGTGTTTGTTTATGTATTATTTGTGAAAGGTATTATAAACCTATTACAGCACGGTACTATCTAGCCAACTGTGTTAGTTGGGTACCTAGGCTAGCTCTGCTGGACTTAAGAATGCGCTCTCGGAATGGAACCCGTTCGTGTGCAGGGGACTTACCGTATTATTCGCAACAGCAGCAATAAATCTGTTCATGAAAAATGTCCCACTGGCTCCCATAGTGTCCAGAAAGGGGCCGGGGGTGGGGACACAGCAGTTTGGGCGGCTCCCTCTCACCCTCTCTCTGGGAACGGTCCCACCCCTTCTCTCCTCCCTGCAGTGAGCTGCCACGGAAGGCGCGGAGATCAGCCACAGCCTGGGCGCGGGGGAGTTTCCAAGCCTGTCCTGTCCAGCTGAACCGCGGCGGCCGGTAGGACGGAGGCCCAGTTCCCCAGATGCGGGGGAAGGCACCTCCATCCGTCACCTCGTGGGCCCGCCCAGCCCCATCCATCACTCGCCCGGCTGCCGGCGGGGGCTGTCCAGCTAATTACTTAACGTGCCACACCTTGCTGAGGCTGGTGCCACGGCGAGGGGCCCACGGTGGAGTGTACGCAGAGCCGAGTGTAAATTTTTAATAAACTGGGGGTGGGGGCAGACCCACAGCCCGGAAGGGGGCCCCGTGAGCCGCGCCCAGCCAGGCCCCCCAGACCCGCTGGCTCAGCGTGGTGGCAGGGTGGCCTCACCTGCCCTCCGGGAGTCCCTCGGCAGGGTCACGCCCGTGGGGGTCGGCGGGGTGATGATGATGTTGGGTACATCCAGGTGCTTGTCGCTCAGGACGGGGGCCTCATCACGGCTGCCGCTGACACACATTTTTAAGCCTGAGAGGGCAGGCCGTGGAACACACACGTACACGCACGACAGAGAGACAAGCATCAGTGGAGGCCGGGGACTGCCCACCACTCCTGCCGGCCGCCCTTCTCCAGCACTGTGTGTCCCCACGCCACACGTGAGGAAACTGAGCCTCAGGACGGCGAAATGACCCGTCCGACCCTGCGCAACTTGGCGAGGGCGTGAATTTTCTTTGCTTTGTTCACTAATGTGACCTGGGTGTGTGACACGCAGTAGGTATTCAAAACACGGCTCTGAATGGATGAAACCAACCGGGCTTGAACCGGAACGCAGACCTGTCCGAATCACAGCCATGTGTGAAGTGATCTCTCCCACAAATTATTTTCTGAGAGAGTTTGTGTGAGGTCAGCATTGTTTCTTCCTTAAGAGTGATTGAACTCACCGGAGAAACTGTCTGGGCCTGGAATTTTCTTTGGGCAATTTGGTTTCTTTAATAGAGATGGGGCTATTCAGATTTTCTGTTTCCTCTTGCGTCCATTTGGCTACGTTGCATTAATCAAGGACTCTGTCCATTTCTTCTAAGTTGTTGAATTCCTTCTCTGCTCTCTCCCGTAAACTCAGTACAGGTAATCCAGCCCAGCCCAGTTTTCATCTCCAGCTGACATAAAAGTACTCTCGCCAAACCCCTTCCTCATTCTCCCCATCTGAGTCAAAGCCGTCACCATGCACTGGAAACCAGAGCCTCAGCCACAGTCCTCCTGTCCTCCTTGCCCTCCAACCCTCCGGCCAGTTTAATCAACCACCAAGCCCGCAGATTCCACCGCCTTAATACCTGGGACATCCTTCCTCTCCCCCTCTCACGCCCCTAGCTAGCCTCTCCGCACCCCCCCACGCCCCTAGCTAGCCTCTCTGCCCCCTGGCTTACCCCTCAGCAGCCCACCCTCCAAACAGCAGCCAGAAACGGCAAACCTGATCATACCTCGCAGCTGCTCAGAATTCTCACCAGCTCTTGGCAACTAGCTACAGGCAGCATTTTTCCAAAAGTGTGTCCCCTGCAACACTGGCCTCCTCAGACTCCCTCCGGAAGGGGGTTCCATGATCAAATGAGTCTGCGAATCCCATCTACTCTGTCCTCTTGGAGAGTACCATGCATGTTAGAGAATTAAAGGCTCTGAGAAGTCCCGCACTGAGGAAGCTGCTTTCACTGTGCTTCAACCCGGGCTTCCTGAACTTAAATAACCTTGATGTCTGTTTTTGGAGGGACACCTGTTACCATCTCACAAGGCCATGAGTCATGAGATACATATTGGGAAATGCTGATCATAAATTAGAGTCAGCCTGTTAGCCCAGCCTTCAGCCTTCACAGTCTGGCCCAAACTCGTTTTGAAGCTTCATTCCCTGCCACCTGCCCACACGCCCCGAAATGCCCACAGCCCCCCAAATGCCCTGGGCTCCCCAGCCCTTTCGTGCCTTTGCACAGGCCGCCGCGCCTGCCTGGAGCGCTCCTCGTTGCTTTGGCAGGGTGGTGACCTCCTACTGATCCTGCAAAAGCCAGCACAGTAGGCTCTTCTGTGGGGGAAGATGTCCCGGGTATCTGACCTCGCTCCTTCAGTCTGAGGTCTTCCAGGGCTCATCTCACTGTATGGCAACGACTAGTTCTGTCTCCCTTTACTGTGCGCGTCTGGAGGACAGCCTCTACTCACTCAGCCATGTGTCCCTTGAAGGTAGCATTATGCCTGGGACAGAGCAAGTAGGGGTGCTTTCAATTTTAAATAAAAAACAACTTCAGGGGCTTCCCTGGTGACGCAGTGGTTGAGAGTCTGCCTGCCGATGCAGGGGACACGGGTTCGAGCCCTGGTCTGGGAAGATCCCACATGCTGCGGAGCAACTGGGCCCGTGAGCCATGGCCGCTGAGCCTGCGCGTCCGGAGCCTGTGCTCCACAACAAGAGAGGCTGCGATAGTGAGAGGCCCGTGCACCGCGATGAAGAGTGGCCCCCGCTCGCCGCAACTAGAGAAAGCCCTCGGACAGAAACGAAGACCCGACACAGCCATAAATACATAAATAAAATTTTAAAAAAAACACAACAACTTCAGGCACTGCTGAACTGGGTAGTCACATCTTTGTCTCTATGTCCCATCACTGTGGTTTTTTTCCCCCCCAAACAGCCCCAGACTGGACTGCATCAGCTCAAGTATCTGAGCCCCTAGCCAACATCAGGAACCGAGCAGTGGGGTGGCCTTCCCTGACCCCCACTGGGACAGTGCTCCTAGATGACCACTGTAGGGTTGGGGTGGTGGTTCTCAAGTATGTCCCCAACAGGTAGAGTCTAATTCCCCTCCTCTCCAGCACGGGATGGACTGAGGATGAATTCTAATGCCTAGAAAAAGAGGGAAGGGATGGCGTGTGACTTCACGAGAGGTCATAAAAGACACTGCACTTCCTTCGTGCTCTCGCTCTGGGGAAGCCAGCCGCCACGTTGTAAGGATGCTCAAGCAGCCTGAGGAGAAGCCCAGGTGGTGAGCCAACAGCCGTGGGAGGGAGCCACTTAGGAAGTGAGTCCGCCAGCCCAGGCAAGCCTACAGATGAGGCCACAGGCCCAGCCGACAGCTTGACTGTAACCTCACGAGACCCTCTGCGACGGAACCTCCAAGCTAAATCATCCCTGAATTCCCAACCCCCAGAAACTGTGAGATAATAAATATTTAAGCCACTAAGTTTGGGGGTGATTTGTTACCCAGCAGTAGGTAACTGATACAGTCAGCGCAGCTTGCCTGTCCTTGAAACTCCATTCCTGTTTCCCCGCTAGGGAGCCCCTGTGGCCCCCTGAATCTAACAGGCTGGTTAGTTTTGTAGAAAGAGGCCACGTCCCCTGCATCAGACTACAAGCCCCTCAGGAGTACCCACCAAGGCCGCTGCCGACCTTCTTGAAAGCCTTAGTATGCTGTTTCTTCCTGCCATCTTACACAGAAGCCCAGAATGTAAAACACATAAAAAGAAGCCACATGGAGGAAGCCCTCCTGTTATCACTGCACCAGTCAGCCTTTAAGGATCATTGGCCACGTGCCAGACACTTCCTCCTTCAGTCTTCATGGCTACCCCGTGAGATGCAAACTCACAGACTGAGGACCAGAGAGGGTAAGAGCTTGCACAGCGGTGAACACCCAGTGCACAGGCAGGGGCAGGATCTGAACCCAAACTCGGGTCTGTCTGACTCCAAAAGCTTCTGCTTCTTGTAACCACGATCCTATAACAGAGCCAGGAAACTATCTGAAAGGTGCCTGAGAGTAAATATGCTTTACTTTCGGGGCTATGCAGTCTCTGTTGCAACTTCTCAGCTCTGCCACTGAGGGCAAACACAGCCACAGACAATATGTGAATGAGTGGGCGGGGCTGTGTGCCAATAAAACTTTATTTACTCAAATAGGAGGAGCAGCCAGCTTTGGCGCAAGGGCTGTGGTTTGCCACTGGCAGCTCTATAACATCCAGGGGTCGGGGAGTTTGGATCAGGGACATGCCTGACGTCCTAACAGGCAACAAAGGAACCTCAAAAGCCCGAGGCTCGTTAATGCCAAAACCAAAACCCAAATCCCAGACCTGGCTGCTGCTGCTGCCAAGTGACAGGTGCTGGGCGTGAGGAAATGAACGGAATGAATGAATGGGAAGTACTTGCCCAGTGAGCTGGGGCCAAGAGGGTGTTCGGTCCCTGCTAGCTTCCTCGAGAATCATCCATAAAGTGTGTCTCGGGGAGCACCGGCCACAAAAGCAAGGTCTGACTATTATTATCTGTAACCGAAGGGAGTCTCCCTGCTCAGTCTCCAAGGCTCCTTCCTCGGCGAATATTCCAAAGTTCTAAAATAAAAGGCTAATGGAGAAAAACCACACTCCCCCCAGGGCCACCATTTGCATTTTAACATGTTCTGGGAGCTCGGTGACAAAGCCCACATTCTTTTTTTTTTTTTGAGGTACGCGGCCTCTCACTGTTGTGGCCTCTCCCGTTGCGGAGCACAGGCTCCGGACGCGCAGGCTCAGCGGCCATGCGCGGCATGTGGGACTTTCCCGGATGAACCCGCGTCCCCTGCATCGGCAGGCGGACTCTCAACCACTGCGCCACCAGGGAAGCCCCAAAGCCCACATTCTTAATCAGGAAGCATCAGGTCGCTTGGTGGGCCCTGGAGAGATGCTGGAGGCTGAGAGGAGAGAGGGGAGGAGGGAGGGGAGGGGTGGGGAAGGGGGGAGATGGGAGGGAAGGGGGAAGGGGAGGGGGAAGGGAGAGGAAGGGGGAGGGGAGGGGAGGGAGGAGAGAGCGAGGAGGAGATGGGGGAGGAGAGGAAGGAGGGAGAAGGGAGGGAGGGAGAGAAGGGGGGAGGGAGGAGGGAGGAGCGGGCGGGAAAGGAGGGGGCCAGGACTCCAGCCCCTCTCAACCCCCCAGGCCCCCCAGCCTCAGAGCAGAGGTGGCTGAGCACGAGGGAGCAGCTCTCAGGAGATAAAGCCGACTTTAGGGATTAAAAACAAAAGCCAGCCTTGCCCCAGACAAGAAGCTCATTTGTGCTAAAGCCAGAAAGGTTATTTGTTAATTATGTGCCCGTCTCAGGCCAGTGAGAGCCCATTTCCTGAGGGGAAGGGCTTGGCTGGGATCCCAGGGGGCGGGGCCCCAGAGCCGCTGAAGATTTTGACTGGGCATGTGATGGGGGGCTTGCGCAGGAAGCCTTCTGGGCTGGCAGCTGTCACCCGCCTCAACCAGGCCCTGCTCTGGGGCACACGCCGTCTCCGTTGTGGAGACGGAACAAGCTGGGCCTGAGCTCTCTGGCCTCCTGGCGCCCACTTTCCCACGGGGGAAACGCGGAGGCTGTGATGGGAGGCCAGGCCGACTGCCTCTGAAAACCTGGTTCGGCCCTTGCCCATGCCCCGCTCCTGGGCAGTGGTTTTCCATCTTGGCTGCCTACTGCGGCCACCTGGAAAGTTTAAAAAATATCCCGGGGGGGGGGGGGGGGGGACCCTGCCCCCAGGGGGCCAGATTTCACCGTGCTACACAGGCCACCAGGACTTTAAAACGTTCCTGGGTGACTCTGACAGCAGGGCTGGGACCCCCTGAGCTAGGGCACCTGGGAACACACGGCTTTCCTCGTATCCACGGCTGGAAAAATGGAGCTCTGATACCAATCTTGTAGGAATGAAATACAAGGTACGGGGCGTGGGGCTGCCCAGTGTGGGAGAAGCAGCCTGGGGTCAAACACTGGGGGAGGTGAGTACTGCTGCCGCCGCCTCCCACAGAGATGAGCCACCCCTTCTTAAGCACCCCCCGTGCCAGGCTCTGGGCGGAGTCCACGTTAATCCTCACACCATCCCTCGGATTGCACGCTAGGGTCATGGCCATTCTCCAGCGAGAAAACCAAGGCTTGGAGAAGGAAGGTGACGTGTCTGAGGACACGCAGAGGCCAGGTGGCTCCCAGGCCTGAGCACCCACCTCACTCCTTCCGGTATCAGCCACCACTTCTCATCCTTCAGAAGCCCTGAGCCAGGCCTATCCTCTGTTCAGGATGCCCCAGGCACGGGGGACACCGCACCATTCCTGGCCCCCGAGCCACCCAGAGGCCGCCAAGAGCAGGCATCGTGGCTTAAAGGCGCCCTCTGCTGGCTCTTTTTAAAATGACGCTCGATCAGCACCCTGGTGCCGGCTCGCAGACCCTGCCTGGGACCACGTCCCTGGATATCCACTCTTCCCCAAGGCACCATCACACAGTGGCCCTGCCGGACCCACAGTGCAGTGGGAGGCCAGAACGTACACCTGGGTTCCTCCACTGGCGGGGCTCCACCTCTGGGCCTCCTTTCCTCACCTGCA